AATCAGTTGTTGAATTGAAACTCAATGCTAAACAAAGTACTGTATATGTTGGATTACTTGAAATATCTATGATACAATTTACTTAAAATAATATAATTTTCATAACCATATCCTAGAGTTTATTCTACCTTTAGGCAATGTTTGAGTCATTTTTCTATGTTACATGTCATGTCTATTTATCATTTATTTTATCTTTAAAGCTTTAAATTGAAGATATAGGAAGCGAGGTTGTGACAAGTCAAAAGCTTGCTGTCAGAATCACTCAATTTTCTCACAGCAGTAATTATTATTATTTATTAATTTTATTTTAATTATTTCCCCGTCCTATTCCCGATTTCATCACCCGCCCTACCGTTTCCTCTCCAGGCTAGACTCAGTCCACCACCTTGGAGATAGCTAGGCCACGTCCTTTCACCTATCTCCCCTTGATCTGGGAAAAATAAGCACACAGTCTCTTTGGTCTTACCCGCCGGATGTCTGACAGCCGTGGGTGGAATGCAAGTCAATCTTTCTTTCCCCCCTCTCCCACGTCTCTCTCTGATCAAAGAGACCACTCAGATCATCAAGCCCCTTGACACTCCAAATTGCGACTCCCATCTCGAGTCAAATTCACCCACATGAGAGATAATCCTAAGCCTAGGACATTTCCTGTTTCCGCCCACCTTTTCCAGGCCTATACAAGGTAGAATAAGGCGGAACAGACACTCTCTCATTTCTCATTCTAGCTGAGCAATCGAGTCTGGACTATTTCATTTACTCTTACTCTTAGAGGAAATACCTGGTGGTAAGCCGCACTTAATCACAGTTCCACTTAATTACTTTGTGCATATTTCTCACTGGATAGTATCATGTGTATTTTATTATTTCATTTAAATTTAATTAGTGCATTGTAAGTAGAAAACATAAACATGGCATATATTTATGTATTGCATTAATCTATTAATGCTACGTTACTCAATTGATCGTTGAGGCAACCATGTTTATATTTGTACATCTTATTTTATTTCCTTTATCTCGGCTGACTGCCTTGATAATGTTACTAGCGCACTAATACTGCCCTTAGAACTTTGATGAGAGTTGCGCCCCTTGAACGGACACTCTCCTTTGAAGCGCGCTCCATTGTTCTCGACCGACGGTCGTATGTAAACAAACCGTCAGGGTCGCTGACCACCGCCCATTTCTCCCCCCCCCCCCCTTTCTCTTCCAACTTGTGTTTTTTTTTTTTAGATTATTATTTCCCCTTTTTATGTACGTTTTTATATTGCTACTATCAGCCATTTATTTTCCAAATCCCATTTGTCATCATCTCCCTGTTGTGTTCAAAAGCAATTTTCCAATCTGACAAATGCACCTCAGTCGAGGGCATCGATACGATGCATGAGAGACATGTCCTAACTTGTCTTTGTTTATCCGCAGCCTCCCTCAGGTGTCTGCCTATTTATCAGATCTATTGCCTATGTACTTAGTGCTATTCAGCCCTGCACTATTGCCTATTTATCGGATCAATTGCCTTTGTACTTAGTGCTATTCAGCACTGCACTACTGCCTATTTATTGGATCACAACGCTACTTGTTATTGAGTATCATCTACTGCCTACTTGGATCTACTCAACGATTTACTTGGTGCTATTGGCTCTACTTGCCTGCCTATTTGACAGTCCACTTGTTAACCCATTAGGCACGACGTCCCTATAGACCCAGAGTCTGTGCGAGATGTCATAGCTCCGCCTGAACTCCATAACTCACTGGACTTATCCTGTTAGCTACGCTGCCCACAACAGATCAGCTCTGCCCGCAGTACCCTAGTGCCCACGGTAGCCGGCCACCCGCCCTACTGTGCCCACTACAGATATCAGAACTTTGGATTGAGACTCCACTAGAACTAAATCACCGGCGCCCCTCTACCCGCTAGAGCGCCACCTCCAGCTGCAGGACCTCAAGCTAGGACACAGCCAGCTGCAACCCAAGTAGGACGACCAGCTAAGTCAGACCTACTCTGTTATTAAGTGCAAGAGTGATGATTAAATATAGTATTGATTAGAGATAGATGCAAACCCTCCCCCTTTTTATTCTTCTATGTAAATATTTATGTAAATAAATATTCTTCAATTTTTAACTTTGTATCTCTCTTTCATTGCTTGTCTCCTTGCGTGCCTGCTCCCGATTTATATGCTGACGGGTTGGTGTGTGAAAATTTCAAAAATAATCATCCCCTGGACATTATACCACCCAAACACACATCACTTTCGCTAACCTGTCACAGAGGTCGAGAGATAAGTACGCTTGGCTTGGCTTGGCTATCTATGAAGGGGGCTCAAGGTTCAACACCCGACTCTAGCAGAGTTATGTTTACTGAGCGCCTAAAGGCAGCACAGAAAACCTTCTCTCAAATACCCCTTCCCCCACCCCAACCCCACTGGTCCACAAATGATATTGGACCATAGCGCTCTGAGCATGCTGAATGCATAAAAGTAGTGCTGTATAAAAGCTATTAATTATCATAATAAGTTGTACTGCCATACAATCTGGCCCACATATTGCACACCATCTCAAAATATATAAAATTGTATATTGCATCAAAAATGGAACAAATGCATATGTGGGCATATGTAACTTCTTGTATTACCATGTTATAAAGTTTCCAGTCATCCGGCAAAAGGAGGACATGTTCTTCTTTTTGTGAGGTAACATGAGGGCCAATCACAATGTTACATGGGCCCTTTAATAAGAACGTACTCTGAAATCTTGTGCACACCTTACTGCCCTTCATAGTGGCCCATTTGGTGACACACCCACCAGGCATTTGACAAATGCCCTTATAGCCAGTCTGCTCCTGATGTAGCCTGGTTGGATTAAGTCACTGTGCATTGATTTTGCTGTTCTGTTTCCTACTTATTTTTGGACTATTGTTGCATATTGTTTTTTTAAGGTTCCGGACCCAAGATTCCCATTTTTAGGTGTACATTTCACACCGAGAATGGACGGCAGTGTCTGGCTGGGTCCTAATGCTGTCTTGGCTTTTAAGAGGGAAGGCTATGGATACACTCAAATTAGTCTTTCAGACTTTATAGATGCTGTCAGCTTTAGGTAAGGAAAATAGAGCATTAATAAAAATAGAAAATTTAAATGAAATAAAGTTGTCCATTGTAAAACTAAATTAACACTTTGAGGTAAATGTGTTTGTTTATGATTTACATATATGACTCACCTGAATACATTATTCCTACAACAAATATTTGACTATTTATAGAATTCTTTATATCTTAAACAAAAAAAAATATTTTAAAATATAATGAAATGATCTACAGTAAATTGACTATAATTGGAGCAAATTTTCAACCCAAAATAAAATGCCTATTACTAAGTGAAACAGAAACAAAATATGCATTGCTTGCCTTAATTGTTGTAAACTAGTGGACCATAAACTCATGATAGTTTGGTATCAATATAAATCAAGGAATAATATTAAAATATTTTGAAACTAAACATAATATGATAAGATCACTAATGAGGAAGACGTTCATTGGAAACTTGACTGAATGCATAGTTGAGTGTGACGACAGACTCAAAGCTCTGTTAGTGTGCTTGCAACAAGCTTTAATCATTGTCATATTAGTCATCTGTACAAGGCAAGAAGTTTTTTTTTTCAAGCTCAGTAGATAAAGTCTAATTTGTATTTCTTTGTTTTGACCAGGGGCTTACGTAAACTGGCAGTCAAACATTTAAGTTATGGCGTTCAAGAGATGTACAAAAGTATTTATATTAATGCTCAAGTCAAACAGTTACAAAAGTTTGTTCCATCATTGAAGCTTGAAGATGTTAGAAGGTAAAGTGTTATTTTTTTAGAATGATATAACAAAGCTTGTTATTTATTATCTTTGCCTGGTTTTATATTATTAAAATTATTCAGATGTAACATATTTTCATATTTAAATCAAACTAAGTATTCAATTAACTTTTAATATATATATATATTTTATATCGCTATAGATTTTAGATTCTCTATTCAACAAAATAACTGTTTAACTCATGATCAGTTTCAAATAACTGAATAACAAATAAAGAGTCCTGCATAAACATTTCATTGATGCCACAAATTGAGTATAGAAAATTACTTCTGTGATAAATGTACAAACTCACAAAATCAAATATTATACAATGTTCTAAACAAATATACTTGTAAACTCAACGAAAATGTTTAACTTGATAAAAAAGACTCTTGTTCTTACCAATCTTTAAAAGTTAAATTCCCTCATTAAAAAGTGTATCTGCACATACTACATTACAATACATATATATATATATATATATTGCTTACAAATGATAGATATTCTAAAGCTATTAGAATTTTTTATTTTGTAGAATATTTTCATACATAATTGTATTATGGCAATCCCGTATGAGAATTAATTTATTTTATAAGGTGTTTCAAGACTTTGTTTATTATGGAACATAGAAATAAAATAAACCTTTTTCATTGTTTACACATGTAGTCATTATTTCATTTGTGTATGTTCTTATGTTTTCTTTTTTCCCTTTGTGTTCTTGTTGTTGTTTAGGGGTCCTGCTGGAGTGCGAGCTCAAGCACTGGACCGTGATGGAAAACTTGTGGATGACTTTGTATTTGACAGTGGTTCAGTAGACATGAGTAGCAGAGTTTTGCATGTCAGAAATGCTCCGTCACCTGCTGCCACATCTTCTCTGGCTATAGCTGAAATGGTTGCTGACCGAGTTGAGCAACAGTTTCAACTTTAATTTGCCTTTAGTTCAGCTTGTACACAATTGTCTAGATGTGTATGTCTTGACATCAATCTAAATTGAAACAGTTTTAGCTACTTTTTCATTTTGAAAGATTTTGTTATAATACCATGGGTCTGTGGTTATTTTTTTTTAAACGTTATGAAATGATTGAGATTGGCCTAAATTTATTCTTTTCATAATTTTATATTGTGATTGAAACTGCCTCTCTATATCTTATTATCAATATAGGTCAATGGCCGCATTTTTTTTTTTTTTTTTTGCTAATGCTCAAAACATTTGATGTTTTTTTTTGCTTCTTTTTCATACTTTTACTTATTCTATGCAGATCGTTGTTTCATTACAACATGTTTCTGAATTGTGATAGTATTATGTGTATAGTTTCAGAAGGGTATATTGATTACTTTAGATACATTTATATTGGTATACATTTTTTTTCCAGTGCTTGAATGCTGTTGATTTTTTTTATTAATATGTATTTGACTTGTTTCAGTCAAGTATTGGTCAGTTGTATTGTTTCTGTTAATTATGTTACTTCTTAAGCATAATCTAAACTAGCATTTGTTAGTTGATAATTGTTTGCATCAATCAAATGAAACCTCTGATGTAACTTATCTGAACATATCATGTTGTGATTGTATTAAAAGGTTTTAGATGAAGAAGAGTGGGACCTAGTCTCCAGTAAAATCTGAGGGTTATTTAAGTACAGTATATTTTTAAAGTAAATAATTGTTTCATTTTCATGTAAGTCTTTGTATGTTACTAATGTTTTAAGAGATGAAATGTGATCATCTTAATTAATGTGAATGCATGTCTTGTCCAGGGACATTAATACTAATGTTTGGAAAAGGTTTGTAAATTTGACATTTATACAGATACTCAGCTAGTTTCTTGACTGCTGCCATGTCAAGTGGGCTCATTAGTATTGGGGTGGATAAATATTAAATTGTTATTCATTTCAAAATTTTTTATTAGAAACACTAAGATACAATGGATTGACTCTTGATTTTATTTTAGAATGTGATACCTATGAAAATTTAAAAGACCTAATCAGTCCTTGAATGTTTCAATATTCTGGAACCTAAATTCTATTTGAACTGTGTGAGATAATGAACCAGGTTTAAAACTTATTATTAGATGTTATGCAAATATTTTATTATTTATATTAGTAATACAAAGTGTGACTTAATTGTGCAACTTTAATAAAAATAAACCTAAAAAAAAAGGTTTTGAAAAAAATCAAGTGTTTTCTTCACTCTTAACAACTAATGTATGATCAATTTTAAAAAAGGACATTTATAATCCCCCCTTCCTTTCTGAAAACATTCTGACTATGCCCATTTTTAGATTTACTCAAGAGTATAAAAGATTCTGTTTTGATGATATAGATCACATCAATAGACAGTAGTGTAGACTAGAATACTGGATCAAGTTAGACCAGCTAATTTGTACACTTGAAGGACTATTTATTTATTCAACTTTTTATTGAATTATATTCAAACACATTTTGGTCTTGGAAATTCCCACTATTACATGTTCAAAATTGACAAAATTTAATTTGAAGATGATTGTATTTTGAAAAATTATAAGGGTCAAACCAGATTTTTCACTGTGTTGTCAATTAGGTTTTATTATTTCCCAAAGATGTACTGTCAAATTTCTAGGAAAATTGTTAGAGCCATTTTTTGACATCTGTGTCCATCCACCCATGAAGGGTTTGCAAGCTCATAAGAGGAATTGTAAGGACATTGTCTCAGAAAATTTTTTTTTAGTCCACTAGGACTTAAACACGTGTATGAAAAACTTCTGTTCATTCTAGGATTTGTAACACTTGTGTTGAAAACTTCTGTTCAGACATGATGTGAACATGTGTGTTAAATACTTCTGTTGAAACTAGAACATTTTGTGAAATATTGGGGTTGTTATCTTAACCTTTGTCTTAATGGGCAGTCTGTATTTAGATTTATATATCATTATGTGTGTAGTAATTCACTATTGGTTCTTGTAGATAACATCTAACTTCATAATATTAAACAGGTCTCTCTGTTGTTCAAAATAAGTATTTGTTATGTCAGATATAATGTGACATCAGTTTGTACACAACTCATATAACACTTGTTCTTAATGCTATAAAGGGGCCTGTAAATGGGCTAATTTGTCGAGAAAAAAAAAATGCTGAAACTACTGTAACCATATATACTTTCAGTGCTACACTTTTCCTCGTAACAGTTTTATGTGCCCTTAATTAATAATGTACTTTTCCAAGTAAGCTTGCCATGTTGTATTCATGTGATACATTGAAATACAGGTGATCATTTGGATTTAACTTTCAATGTGTAATTGTTTGTAATGAATTACTGGCATGAAGAAAATGCTAATGAGTGCTTGGCTACACTTTATTTTCATAGTCAGTTTGTATTTATTTTCTCCTGACTTAATGGCATTGTTTAAAGTTTATTTATAAAATAACTTGAAAAAGTTTTATCAAGAGGAACACAAAGGATTTTTACAATTCTGACCACTTCAGTGACAAAATAAAAATGTGTAACTCTGATGTAACCTTTTTTTTTGTAATTGTTAGGTTTGAAGAAGAATTGATAAAATAACATATTTTAGTCTTTTTTTTTTCTAAATGAAATAATTAAACCACTTAATTAAACTCACTTAAAGAAAATTTTCTTTTTTCCTGAAAACATTTAATACCTCAAAATAAATGAAAAAGTCAACATTCTAAACACAGAGACATTGGTTTATTTGTTAAGTACTAGAATACAAGCTTGAGTCTCTCCCAGTTTAACTCGATGACTTTCAACATAAATTAATGGAACAAAATATGCAGAATCAAATTCAGGTCTGGCTGGACCTGAGATTAGTTGATTGATCAATTTTTCTTTCATATCATGCAATACAAGTAATACACAGCGGCCATTGGGCACTAGAACTCTGAAAAGGCAAATGATAATGAAAATAATAGTAAAATTCACTGTTGTTTTGGTCAATGGTTACTAGAGTGTTTATGTGGGCAGCACAAAATATTCTTTCCCATCAATGGCCAGATACTCTTTTAGAGTTCAATGAACTAGACATTTTAGGATGACATTCTTAAAATCCCAGCACCCGTACCAAAAAATTCAAACCTAATTCCTTCGCAAAAACACACAAATTAGATGTTAAGTTTAATAAAATCAGTTTAAGGCCTTTATTTGAAACTTGCTAAAAAATTGTTTTAATTTTTTCTAAAAGAAAAATTGAAATATTTTATCAATATTGATTACAACTTAAGTAATTACTTTAGTTTAAACAGAATACCATTAGACATAACCTTTGGTTTAGAATTCTATTTTCTTTAGTCTTCACTTACTCTAATATCATTTCATACCATATAGTTATATGCCTGATCAGTTCATTAAATTCCAATTATAGATCAAAATATCCTAACATTTGTTCTAAAAAATTTGGAAAAAGTTACAAATGTACACTTACTCTGAGTTTTGGTAATGTTCAAGCCAATAATTGTGTAATAAGAGACTCAAATGCTGATTAATTATTTGATATTTCTTGAAACGAATAGTTACCTGTAGATCTCTTTCAAAAACTTTAGGTAAAACTGTTCTATGTTGTCAGCATGAATTTTATGATTCTGATTAAAAGGAGCATCACAGATCACTACATCAATACAACTATCTCTGTAAGGCATGTCTGGAGATAAGCAGAAAGTACAAGTTTTTGTCTAAATTACTTGGGCTATGACAACAGATTCCTCTCAAACATTAAAGTAATGGATGAAAACTACAGCTTACCTAGCCCATCAGCCAGGACTAGTGACACAGTTGAGATGCTGTCACTGCAGCTGGACACATTTTGCCTAGCTATTGTTATCTGATTTGTATCACAATCACTTCCTAAGTACAAACTAGTCTGGGAATGGTACAAAAATCAAATCAATTAACAATGTGTTTTCCCAAAGAATAATAATTAAAAGTTCTACTTACATTAGCAATGTAATAGCTTGACATGCTAATTACACAAGCTATATCAACCATCTGTCTCCATTCCTATTTATTGCTTTAGATAGAACCTCTTTCAATGGCAGGCCCATCCATTCTTTTATGTTGTCTGCCTCTTTTCCTGGTACTGTTCCCTGAAGAAAGGTCTTTGCGAGCCTCAAAGACCTTGTAATATAGCTTTAGAGTTTTAGTTTACATTGTTGTTTTTTTTTACAATAGTTAGCAGGTCATCGTGGGGGTCTAATTGCTATAGTACTAGTACTACAGTGATTGAACTAAATTACTTTTTTATAAATATAAAAAAATTAGTTCATATGTCAAAAGGCACTCTTGCTAGATAATGGAAGCACATGATGAGGATTTTATATTATAGGAACATAAACAAATTTGAGTTTATAAATTTATTTCTTAACTGCAATCTTTGTTGAGGGCAGTAGATTAGCACTGTGCCTTTCAATTCATCAGAAATGAAAGCAAAAGGCCCTGGCCTAAAGTCAACTATTTGTGTTATTTATACAACATTATCAGCTGAAGTAGTTTCAATTCTTTCATAGCAGAACATGAAACGTTGACTTAATATATCCAGAAGTATACAGAGATGAAATAAAGACAGGATCAGCATAATGACACTACATGTCTCTCAAAAACTTGACATCTGTTGAACACCTGCCATTCATCTATCTTTCTGAGCACCTCCTCCAAGATTAGATCCACCCTATCTGATGTTCTTGTGCAATCGTTCTGCCTGCCTCTCATCTTTCTCAAAGTAGTTTCTCTCAGCAAGCTATTAAGATCTCATCCACTAAATTAAGGTTTTGTTACAATGGTCAGAAAGTCTTCCCTAATGATAATTCTTTGTTTGAGATGCTGCGTCTATATAGATTACAAAAGCATCTCATTATCCTGGATTTTACTGTTCTTAACTGCAAGCTTCAGTTATATGACAAGTAAAAAAAAAATATTTTTAAAGACAATACCTCCTTTATGCAAGTTATAGAGCGCTTATTTGGCTCATAATAGATTTTAAAAAATGGAACCCCCGCCCCATTCCCCCAGAAAAAATCCTATTAAGTGAATGCATAAATGTACTAGACTTGAAAATATTCTCATAAAAGATCCATAGATCTAGACTTAGAAGACAGTTCGCAAAATGTTCCAAAACATTAATTCATTAAACTCTTTAATTAATAGGGCCTATATGTCGAAATATCCAAAGATGTAGTCTAAGTCTGTTCATGATAAATATTTTCTAGTCCAATAGCCAAATTTTTTAATTAATTTTTTTTTATACTGTAAAAAATTGTAATAGTCAAACTAGTTTTCCAAGTTTAGCCATGGAGCTAGTAATTCTTTTCCCAACACTATAAATCAACCATTTTGGAGAAATGTGTCCACGCAACCAGGTATTGCCCACCCATTCAGAATGTACAACTTGAAAAGAGGTATTGTAAATGTGATGACCCAAGAGATAATTATTCTTTTTGTTTAGGTCTATTTGTAATTTCATATTGTTTTGATCTTGCAAGTGCAACAATCCCAGCAAGCAGTTTAAATATGAAATATTTAAAGCATCTTAACTCTTCCAAATAGATGTCAGCTTTTGTTTTGGTGGTATCTTATAAAAATTTTAACTTCCTCTAAGATTCCAGCGACACCTTCTGCTTGGTAGCTAAGTTAATATAACATATACCGCATACGTTTATTTTTAAAAATATAAAATATACTTACTTTATACTCTGAGTTGGCTTCAATCAGCACAGTAGCCTTGCCACACATAGGGTCCAATACAATATCACCTGACTAGGAACATGGTCAGTAAAGATTTGTTACAAATATAGTTTGTAAGTCTCAAGCAATCCAAAATTAATTTATTAGGCAAACATATCTATAATAAATAGTTCAATGGAAGCTGGAAGCAATGCAATAAAGATAAAATATGTCTCTTTTTCTCTCCATAAAAAAATATTTCACCTTTTTCTTTTTTACTGATGAGATTTTGTTATATCCGGGACACAAGATTCAAGAAGAAAAAAAAAAAAACTTTATGTTTCAGTGCAATACCTGAATGTTAGCCAAATGTGACATAATCCATGCAATGGTTGATCTCAAGCCAGAGTCTACTTTATAATCTCTCTTTGACAGGGGAAACCTAAAATAGACATAGTATTTTATGGAAAAATGTGAAGGTACAGGTAGCTATGTCAATTAATTTTTTCTTATAGCTTATAGTTTTTTTTTCCCCTAAAGATTAAATTAGGTTAAAAAAAAAAGAAAACTTGTATTCTTGAAAGATATTGCTTTTACATTAATGTTCCTTTTAAAATGATAACTAACTTTGTTAAAGGAATACCTGCTGTTACAAATTCATCGCTTATATGAATGCATATCTGAAAGTAGAGAAATTCTATCATCAAATATAAGCATTATATAGCAATTATTATTATTATTATTATGGATTATGTGAAAAGCAAAAAGATCAGTCTCTTGGCAGTGTCAGTAATTAACACATACAAATGTGGTCACAAATTGATTTATAATCTGGTCACACAGTTATCTATAATGGTCACAATTTTCAGTGTCAAAATGTTAAATTTTTTTTTTAAACTGTGCATATTCTACCTAGCAATGAATTAGATTCACTAGAATAAAGGAGGATCTATAAAACAACAGAGGGGAAATTACCTCAAAATCAGGATGATGCAAATTTGCTTTCCATCTAGTAGCCTTGGTTATTGGCCAAACTAAATTCTTAGAAAGTCTCTGAAACATTGATTGCCATTTAGTTTTTTCAACTGAACAGTTCTATCTTACAATCTAACTAAACAGGAATATGAATTTAACATTTTAAAACAGTTCTTTAAGGAAACAAATAAAATAAAAATACTTAAGCATTTAAATACTTAGATTTTTCCTGAAATTTATAATAACCTTTATATCCAACCATCTTTTCACTTTTCCAGAGCATTTAATAGAAATACGAAAAGTTTTAAAACTCTTGATAATTTTTCCATCCACTTGATAATTGTTTGTATCAACAAGGGAAGTAGTTTCTACATGTGGTACTGCATTTGTTGATTCACAGCAAAGCCTTGATACTTCTTTTATTTTACTTGTGTCACCAGTCAAGTCTTGAGAGTGACTGTCTAATGCTTCAAGAAGATCTGTGTTGATATTATTCTTTTCTTGGGCACAACTAACCAACCTTGCTTTTTTCAAGGGTGGCATTTCCTTTGCCAAGGTGCTATGATGTTGTTCTGCACAATTAGTAGGTGTGGCTGGATCATTTTTCTTTTTACAGCAGTTTTCAGGTAAACAAGCATGGCTCTCAGAGTTCTGATGACATGTAGAATACTGTTCAGAAGACAAAGTTTCTAGTACTTCAATCACTTTTTGAGCATTTGTAAAATTATCTCTGTCTGACAGTTCTTGTATAAACTTGTTTAGGAAAGTTCTCTTGTCTGTGAAAAGAGATGGAAACCGAAATTCTTATTTTTATCTGACTTTTTCAGCTGAACTTAAATTATTAATATTTCAAAAAATACTTAAAAGCTAAACATATCTCACCTTGAATAAAATTTTTGTTTGTGTAATCAGTAATAGCAACAAATATTCGTTCAACTGACTTCAAGGCAAAAAGTTGTTCTTTCATTTGCT